CTAAAAGATTGTTTTTTTATTTATTTATTATATTTTTTTAATAAATACATCCAATTAAATGAACTTTTTTGTCTCGATTGTCGTGTGCCTTAAGTCACACGAAGACAACCCAATTTCATATTAGAGAATCAAACAAACCCGCATCTATTTTTACTAAATTTATAGAGAGAATCAAAGACTCAAATACTCTCTTTTTCTTCTGAATAAAGATTGAATTTTGAACATACCTTGAGGGACAGAGCCAGTGAAACAAGGTGGGGAGATGAAAATCAGAAGAGTTGGTGGTGAGATTGTCAGAAGACAACGCGGGAACAGGAAGTCTTGACCTTTAGCACCAGAAGAAGAAGAAGCAGAAGCTGAAGAGCCACCGTCCATGGTGAATTTCTTGTCTCTGCGTTTTGAAGAGGGGATCCACGTGCTCCTCACGTGAGTAGCACAATCATAACCACGGCTTGCAGCAATTCTACCGCCGCTAAAACACAGCACTTTCTTGGCTCGGTTGCCGCAATCTTTGCAAACTTCATGAAGTTTTGATTTTCATGATCATCATCTTCTTCTTCATTATCATTATCATTGATCATCATGAGCAACATGAGCTTGTGGTTTCACGAGTGGTGGAATCTTGGCGTGTCTTGAAGGAGCTCCAGAAGTTGGGTCGGAAGGGAGGCGGAGAAGGGTGGTGGTGGTTGTTCATGAATGTGGTGGTGGTGGTGGTGGCAGGAGGGGAGGAGGAGCGAGGAGGAGGATGTTGTGGAGGCCGGCATGGCAGAAGAGGGGTGATCAAGAGGGAATGTGGGGTGGTGGTGGAAGGAGGGAGAGGTGGCGGAGGCCATGTTTTGGCGGTGGAGGAAGGAGGAGGGAAGTAGTTGTGTGGCCACAGTTGGCAGTGGGGAGCTTATTACTTGAATTCACCATCATTTTTTCACCTTTACTCGTCATTTTCACTATTTATTAGCAAATTTTTTCATTTTTAAATAATTTTTTTATATAAATTATGAAAATTTCCAAAATAAAAAAGAATGGTACCCATAAATATAATGAAGGTATATTGTGTCACTCAGTAGATATTTTTACTATGTATGTATTTGTTAATCAATACACATCTAAAATATTAATTGCTAATTTATGATCAATTTGGTAAAAAAAAAATATGATATTAAATTTTTTTAGAATAATACTCTGGCAAATTCATTATACAAACTAATATAGTACAAAACGTATTATGAATTTGTATACAAAATTAACTTAATAAATACTAATTAATATAGATGAATGATATAGCTATTTGTGTATAAATTTAATAGTATCATAGTCTTTTTTTCTTTTTTAAATCTATTTGGTCTGCGTATAAGCCATCGCTTGTAAAATAATTAACTCATAAATTTAATTGTAACATTTTAAAGTGGAAATCTTATGTAAGATTTAATAAAAGTTAGAAGGGAGGGTGATGACGTTAACTTTACTTTGTTAGTGATGTGATAAAATAATTAATTTTTTTGGTTGGTGATTAAAAAAAAATATAAATTAAATATGATATAAAACGAGTGTAGGTGTTAATATTTTTAGTTTAAAAAATGATATAATACTCAAAATTATTTCATTATAGAAAATAAGAAAAATGTTTTCTTTTATTTTCATATTTTAAATCAATGTTAAGTACTATATCCAAAAATTATTTCTAAAAGAAATTCATGTATAACTTATTTTCAAATGAAAATTATATCAAATTCTACGAAAATGGGCCTAAAATTAAAAAAAAAAAAATTGAGTATTATTTTTATTTTTTTTCTGTTAATTAAGTGTATCGAATAGCCAAATTTTTTTATTATTGGTATTTAAGATGACTTAGATTAAATATGTTTTCTATTTAATTTATTAAGTTTGAATCAATTTGGTTTTGGTTGGTTTAATTTAATCTGCCAAATAATAAATATGTTAGCACTAATCATTAATTATATGATGTTATAATTATCAGCAAGGAAATGGGTTCATTAATATTATTTTTAATGTCAAGTCAAATCTTTCATTCAAATGAGAACATAATTATTAATTATTCATATAAATAAAATATTAATATTTAAACTACAAGTTAACTCTATTCAACAAATTCCACCATCTAATGTGATATCCACTTCAAAAAAATAAAAAAATAAAAAATATAAATCCAAAAAAATCAGTGGTTTTTTTTTTTTTTTACCTATTTTCACAAAAAAAAATAATTTTATAATTATTATTTATATATCATATTGAGATTTTTGAAAGAGAAATTCTAGTGCTAAAAGCATTAGCACTATTATGTTTGAATTTGTGACATTGAAAATAGCATCATTTATCCGTATGTCACATAATATATAAACTAGAGGTCCAAATTTAAAATATTAGCCTCATTGTATGGTCGATTTCTTATCTAGCTCAGTCGAGTCATGTCATATAACCTTTTGTCGAACAATATTTGTGTTAAAAAGATTGTTCATGATTTTAAGTGTTAAAATGAACATTCTTTTCAAAATTTTAAAAAGAGTGAGAATTTTTACCATATATATGTGTTTTGACACCCTTTTTAAGTGCACCCACAATAATTTTTTTTTTTTACTCCATAAATCATAATATTTTTAATACAAATGCACATGGTAGGACTTAATTGAATATAAACATAAAAAAAAAGTTTGTAAAAATTTGATTAAAAAAATTAATTTGAACATATATTAATAGCATACTTAAAAATGATGTAACAATGAAATTATATGGAAGTTAATAAGATGTGAGATATGATTAATAATGGTAATATAATAATAGTTCCAATACATGATTATTGATTAAAATTATATATTGTTTGTAATGATAAGTCGTCAATTTTTTTTGCAAAATATGAATATACATGTTATAGTATCACATGCATCATTCTCCATGCATTCCATCATACAGTTTGATACCAGAAGATTCGGTTCAAAAACCAGTTTTTTTATTAACCAAAGCGAATTTTCGGTTTGGTTCAAAACCGGATAGGCTACAAACCAGTTCGGATTCGGTTCAGTTTTTAGTCTGAACTAAATTTCTAGTTCGGTTTAGTGAAACCCCTAACTGGTTTAGATACTCGATTTTGAACACTCCAATATGGGCATCAAATTTAGTTTCTTTAATTCATTAGTGAGTTGCCAATAACTCCACTCTATCATTTATAGAAAAAAGAAAAGAAAATCAAGAATATGTAATTTCCAAGTCCAACCATCAATGAGTCTAAATTTGCACTTGCTCCCACCCAAGGTTTGGTGAAACTGCAAGTTCCCACCCATGGTTTAATGTAAAGGTTAAAGGGTAAATTGGTCATTTATATTGCATTAAATTTGAAATAAATATAAAAATTTCAAAATAACCCTCCACATCTCAAATTTCTCTCACAAGCACCCTCCACGTCTCAAGTTTGAAATATGACGATCGCACCCTTACGACAGAAACGCGACTTGGCAACTCGTGGACAACAAACGGCGAGTGGGGGAGGCCAGTGGCGGTGTGGATTTTGTTGAGGAGAGGATGGGGGTTCGAATGGTTGTAAAGTGGGGTATTTCCGGTGTCAAAAGCAGTTGAAATCTGGTCATAAACTTGGAGAATCACGTGAGATTGCAAGGGTTGTCGACAGACGATTTGTGGGTGCATCGGGGTGGGAGTGTGGGGGGTTTTGGTGATTTTTGGTGTGGGGGTTCTGATGGTGGTGATGGGGTAGCTTGGGGATGTCGGAATGGGTCGAAAATGGCCTAGAAGCGACAATGGGTGAGAGAAAAAGTCACGGAAATTGACACAATCCAATAGTCTTGGTAGGCGGTGGTCAGGCGAGGGTGAGGGGTGCCACTCCTAGTCTCCTTCGTGTCGCCGCTGCCATGGCTTTGGCCGATCTATGGTGCCGATTGTGGTTGTTGGGGTTTGCCCAACTCACAGGGGTGTGATGGACAAGCTTCCATCTTCCAGGGAGGTTTCTGATATTTAGCCGCCATGATCAAAAGTAAAAGTTAAAGGGCAGTTGGGTAATAACACATTCTATACTATGTTAGAGTTAATTTAAGGGTGGAATATGAAATTTATGAAACCAAGGGTGGGAACGAAGATTCGCCAAACTGAGGTTGGAAACATGTAGTTTACTCTTTGCAGAAAAACGTAGCTGGGCCTACTTAGTGGGGCAGTATGGGCCACATAATGTTGGAAATTCACATTAAAACTAGTCTAATTTTTTTGTTTTCTAATAGCCCAAATGGAACATTTGACTTGTAATATGAATATAGAGTTCGATTATAATACAGCTTCAATTTTTAAAAAATTATTTGTTGTAAATTGTAATATGAAAATAAGACTTTATTATATGAAAAATCATATTATTTTACAAATTAATATTCAATTTTGAGATAGATTTGGTTATGTTAAATGTGGGTTATTCAGCAAACTCTTTTTATAAGAAATCTCTCATTTTTGCTTTACTTCCTCTCAAGTCAAACACTCACAGTCCACTAATTTCTAAGTCTAGAATATTATTGAAGATCAAGACGTGTTCCATAATGTAAGAAAAAGAAAAGGAATTTCCACAATAAGAGTCTATCTTGTAACATATAAAATGACCCTTCTAAAGAATAAAAATATAGATGGTATGCAAATGGGAAAGCAATGAACCTATTTATTTGAACAAAGATTGATGGTGCCGACATGCCCTAGACCTAAGAATAAAATTGTTCATGTCAATTACTTCATAAAAAGGAAAAGCCTTTGATTCATTAAAAGAAGAAAAAGATAGCTTCATGTAATTCTTCCATCTCAATAAATTCTTAAGCGATATTCAATCACAAATCCATAAAGTTCGTAAATGGTTGATTGTATGTGTAAAGAGAAACCTCTTTTAGAACTGACATCTTATGGCGTCTTTACTTAGTTGGACTGAACGGTGGACTCCCATTTTACCAAAGTTTTGGGGTAATGAAAATTCCAATGTAATGCAAACTAAGAAGCATAATGGTAGATATATATTTAGTTGTAATATAAAAGATAAAATATGCTTTTACATTCACATCACAAACAAACTGTTAGATAGCTCAACCCACAATTTCACACAAACAAAAAGAAAACTGGGTTCAGCATCATTCACACTAATTAATTCTAGTAGCACTTCATTAAGCTAGTACAACTATGTTCAGGCATCACAATAAGTCACTACAATATCTTGTCTAGTGGACGATTAAACTTAACCATATATACGATGATTTCAATATGCATATTCATAGTAGCTTCAGCATTGCAACAGAGGATCCATCTTCCACACCTGACATATGGAATCTGCATTAAATCAAAAAGAGCTATTCTTGTGCTGTCAGCAGCATCTACTACTAGATTGATAGTCATTTTGAAGGAAACTGAAAGCTAAAAGCAATGAACCTAGAGACGTTAATGTGAAGCATGATGTAGAGACTATGCATGTTCAAACTTGGAAAAAGAACTACGTATAGCAATTGGGTCCCGAGAACAATTTCCATAACCGATTCACAAACAAAAGAGAGGAAATCAATCATGTTTAGATGAATGAATCATAAATGAAATGCCTTTCTTTCTCAATTGAAAAGCTAAAGTGTCTCAAAGAGTTAAAAGTAGATCTGGAAGAAGGCTGAGGGTGAGCCTCAGCCACATGCCATTCCTTTTTCTTTTTAACCAAAGATTGACATTGACCTTGCAACAACCGCAAATCTTGCTTGTTTAGAGTTATGCCCTTTTAAGATCCCTAATAAGACCTATGAATCAAAACAAAAGCCACAAATCTTATACTAGGTTGCGCATGGAATAATTTCTCGACATCTTTAAACACAACTTTAGATATATGTTGAACATAAAAAGTGAATGAACTTCAGCTAAGCTTATTAGATCTTAAAATTTAATATTAAAGAGTTTACCCAAGCTTTAAGGTCAATTTTTGAGCTAACTCCATGTCGGTTTTGCAATGGACCCATTAAACAAAGAAACTAGGCTTTTCCAAGGCAATAAACAGCTACAGGACAAATTTTACTTGCAGTAATATGAAGATTAAATAATAGCAAAGATTAAAGTTGTAGCAAATATGGCAGTTTAATTAGCTCTTAAATCAGCAATTAGACCCAAAGACAAAGCAGTAGTTTCAAAAAAAAAAAAAAAAAAAAAAAAGAAGAACAAATGGGTGGCACTAAGACTTAGTTACTTTCATAGAAGAAAGGGGGGCTTTTGTTACAAACACAAAATAAACAGAGTTTTCTAATGTCAGTGGGGGCATGAGCCCCCATTCAGACCTTAGCGGCTGAATTTAGACCCAAAAACAAAGCACTAGTTTCAAAAGTTTATACCTTCAAGTGGCAGAGGCTGCAAAAGTAGTGGAAGGATCAACAATTGGAGAAGAAGAAGAGGAGTCCCTATTTTTGGCACTGGAATTAGCTTCCATTTTTGATGAAATGCAAGGGAACAAATTCTTCTCATCATTAATTCCTTGGTCATAAAGAAACCCCTTGAAAACATGGCCGCTGATGTTCACTGTACCCACATATCCAATCTCATTATCTTCCCCATCATTAATGGAAGTCACACTTATACACCTGAAAACTGCCGGCGCCTTCACTTTCCCCGGTAATGCTTTCTTGAAACTCGCATCTGTTTCGCCCCACAAAACAAACTCACATCACATTTTTCACTAAATTTCATCTAAAGGCACACATAAAAGATTGGTTTTTTTTATTTATTTATTTATATTTTTTACATAATATACATCCAATTAAATGAACTTTTTTGTCTCGCATTGTCGTGTGCCTTAAGTCACACGAAGACAACCCAATTTCATATTAGAGAATCAAAACAAACCCGCATCATATTTTTAACTAAATTTCATAGAGAGAATCAAAGACTCAACTCTTTTTTTTCTTCTGAATAAAGATTGAATTTTGAACATACCTTGAGGGACAGAGCCAGTGAAACAAAGAGTGGGGAGATGAAAATCAGAAGAGTTGGTGGTGAGATTGTCAGAAGACAACGCGGGAACAGGAAGTCTTGACCTTTTAGCACCAGAAGAAGAAGAAGCAGAAGCTGAAGAGCCACCGTCCATGGTGAATTTCTTGTCTCTGCGTTTTGAAGAGGGGATCCACGTGCTCCTCACGTGAGTAGCACAATCATAACCACGGCTCTTGCAGCAAATTCTACACCGGCTAAAACTGCACTCCTTCTTGGCTCGGTTGCCGCAATCTTTGCAAACTTTCATGAAGTTTTGATTTTCATGATCATCATCTTCTTCTTCATTATCATTATCATCTTGATCATCATGAGCAACATGAGCTTTGTGGTCTTCACGAGTGGTGGAATCTTGGCGTTTCTTGAAGGAGCTCCAGAAGTTGGGCTCGGTAAGGGAGGCGGAGAAGGGTGGTGGTGGTTGTTCATGAATGTGGTGGTGGTGGTGGTGGCAGGAGGAGGAGGAGGGGGCGAGGAGGAGGATGTTGTGGAGGCCGAGCATGGCAGAAGAGGGGTGATCAAGAGGGAATGTGGGGTGGTGGTGGAAGGGAGGAGGAGGTGGCGGAGGCCATGTTTTGGCGGTGGAGGAAGGAGGAGGGGAAGTAGTTGTGGTGGCCACAGTTGGCAGTGGGGATTGCTTATTACTTGAATTCACCATCATTTTTTCGACCTTTACTCGTCATTTTCACTTATTTATACAGCAAATTTTTTCATTTTTAAAATAATTTTTTTTATATAAATTATGAAAATTTCCAAAATTAAAAAAGAATGGTGCCCGTAAATATAATGAAGGATATATTGTGTCACTCAGTAGATATTTTTACTATGTATGTATTTGTTAATCAATACACATCTAAAATATTAATTTGCTAATTTTATTGATCAATTTGGTAAAATAAAAAAATATGATATTAAATTTTTTTTATGAATAATACTCTGGCAAATTCATTTATACAAACTAATATAGTACAAAACGTATTAATGAATTTGTATACAAAATTAACTTAATAAATACTAATTAATATAGATGAATGATATAGCTAATTTGTGTATATAATTTATATATGTATCATCGCACTTTTTTTTCTTTTTTAAATCTATTTGGTCTGCGAAAGCCATCGCTTGTAAAATAATTAACTCATAAATTTAATTGTAACCATTTTTAAAGTGAAATCATTTATGTAAGATTTAATAAAAGTTAGAAGGGAGGGTGATGACGTTAACTTTTACTTTGTTAGTGATGTGATAAAATAATTAATTTTTTTGGTTGGTGATTAAAAAAAAATATAAATTTAAATATGATATAAAAACAGAGTTAGGTGTTAATATTTTTAGTTTAAAAAATGATATAATACTCAAAAATTATTTCATTATAGAAAATAAGAAAAATGTTTTCTTTTATTTTCATATTTTAAATCAATGTTAAGTACTATATCCAAAAATTATTTCTAAAAGAAATTCATGTATAACTTATTTTCAAATGAAAATTATTATTCAAATTCTACAGCAAAATGGGCCTAAAATTTAAAAAAAAAAATTGTAGTATTATTTTATTTTGTTTTTCTGTAAATTAAGTGCATCGATATAGCCAAATTTTTTATTTATTAATGGTATTTAAGATGTACCTTACGATTCAATATGTTATTCTATTTAATTTATTAAGTTTGAATCAATTTGGTTTTTGGTTGGTTTAATTTAATCTGCCTGTTTAAATTAAATAATAAAATATGTTCATTAATTTAATCTGATGTTATAATTATCAGCAAGGAAATGGGTTTCATGCAATTATTATTTTTTAATGTCATGTCAAATCTTATCATTCAAATGAGAACATAATTATTAATTATTCATATAAATAAAATATTAATTATTTAAACTACAAGTTAACTCTATTTCAACAAATTCCCACCATCTAAATGTGATATCCACATTAAAAAAAAAAAAATCAAATCCAAAAAATCAAGTGGTTTTTTTTTTTTTTTACCTATTTTCACAAAAAAAAAAAAATAATTTTATAATTATTATTTATCATATCACATTGAGATTTTTTGAGAGAGAAATTCTAGTGCTAAAAGCATTAGCACTATTATGTTTGAATTTGTGACATTGAAAATATCATCATTTATCCGTATGTCCACTAATATTATAAACTAGAGGTCCAAATTTTAAAATATTATGCCTCATTGTATGGTCGATTTCTTATCTTAGCCTCGTGTCGAGTCATGTCATATAACCTTTGTTCGAACAATAAATTTGTGTTAAAAAGATTGTTTCATGATTTTAAGTGTTAAAATGAACATTTTCTTTTCAAAATTTTAAAAAAGAGTGAGAATTTTTATACCTATATATGTGTTTTTGACACCCTTTTTTAAGTGCACCCACAATATATATATATATTTTTTTACTCCATAAATCATAATATTTTTAATACAAATGCACTATGGTAGGACTTATTGAATATAAAACATAAAAAAAAAGTTTGTAAAAATTTGATTAAAAAAATTAATTTGAACATTATATTAATATGCATACTTAAAAATAGATGTAACAAATGAAATTATATGGGAAGTTAATTATGATGTGAGATATTGATTAATAATGGTAATATAATAATAGTTCCAATACTATGATTATTGATTAAAATTATATAGTGTTTATAATGATAAAGTCAGTCATAGAAATAGCAATGAATTTGAAATTCACAAATTTGCAATTTGCATCCTAATCATGTCAAACAACATATTTATTTATTTCTTTTTAGCCCCTTAATTAGAAAAAAATAATATTAAATTTGGATATCTTTTATAATATGATAATGATACAATTCATCATTTAAATTTCCCACTTCTAAACACTTTTGGGTCATGTTAGGCTATCGGACCTAATAAGGCAATAATTTGTTCATATTTTTATTATAGCTAGTGATGTAGTAATAATATTTTAGATATTAATAGATAACTAAATCATTATTATATAATAAAAATATCAACAAAAAGTACACATTATGTAATATCATTTGGCGGTAATTTCATTAGTGTTAAGCCTCAAACATCTAATCACCGAAAACACTGTAAAAAAACATAAGCATTAAGGGTCATATAATGTTTTATTATATAGGGATATTATATTAACAAAATAAAAAATCACTTTGAAAATTACTGAGAATGTTTAGAAAATATGTTTGGTTAATTTGAATAAATTGGTGAATAATATGTTTGATTGGGAGGATAAATGGGTGGGTATGTTATGTAGATTATTAAATTACCTCCTTTTTAAATATTAATATAACAATATTTTTTATTATTATTTTTTAAATAATTTTTTTAACCCCCAACTGTTTAGATTTGGCAAAAAGACCCTAGCAACCAAAAACATTTTAAACTTAACAAAAACACTCCTACCTACCCCAAGCCATTGCTAGCAGCCAGCCACCACCGCTGGCAATGCCACAAACCTGGCCGTGATGTCGATAGTGCCACAGATCTGGCCGTGAAATGGCCAGGTTTTTTGCCGTGAAACACCAACTGTTTCAAGGCTAGATCGGTCATCGTTTCACGGCCACATCCTTGGTTGTTTCACGGCCATAGATTTGGCCCTGAAACAGCCAGATCTGGCTTTTTTCGACCATGAATCACCCTGAAACAGCCAGATCTGGCTTTTTCCGACCATGGATCACAGATTCATGGTCGAAAAAAGCCTCATCAGCGCATGGTCGGCCATATATGGCTGGTCATACACCATTATGGCAACTTTTGACAGCCTCCGACGACGATCGACGGTGGCTACCGGTGGTGGCTAGTTCTGGGTGTAATGACATTTTCTGTAAATAATGACAATAACAAGGGCAATATTGTCTGAAAAATTTAAAAAGCGAGGACAAAAGTCTTTGCATGAGTGATTATTTGTTTTGTAAACATTAACAAATATAAGGTTAATTTCAACCAAATCCTCAACAGTTGAGGAGCAATATGGGAAAAAAATTGTAATACCAGGAGCAATATGGCTGTGAAACGCCAGCTGTTTCAAGGCTAGATCAGTCGCCGTTTCACGGCCACATCCTTGGCTGTTTCACGACCATAGATTTGGCCCTGAAACAGCCAGATTTGGCTTTTTCCGACCATGGATCACATATTCATGGTCGAAAAAAGCCTCACCGGTGCACGGTCGGCCATATATGGCTAGTCGTACACCATTATGGCAACTTTTGGTAGCCTCCGACGACGATCGACGGTGGCTACCGGTGGTGGTGGCTAGTTCTGGGTATAATGACATTTCTGTAAATAATGACAATAACAAGAGCCATGTTGTCTGAAAAATTTAAAAAGCGAGGACAAAAGTCTCTGCATGAGTGATTAGGTGTTTTGTAAACATTAACAAATATAAAGTTAATTTTGACCAAATGCTCAACAGTTGAGGAGCAATATGGGAAAAAAAACTGTAATAAGTTTTATTAACAACCAACACCACCCCCCTCCTCTTTAAAGATTACTGGTAATATACTCCCCAAATACTATTGTTTGTCATAAAATATTTCGGGAATAATTTTTTACAAACCAATCAAACATCATTATCTGCTCAATTTAAAAAATATTACCCCAGTTATCTAATATTAACCCGATCCAAATGGGCCTTTAAAAAAACATAAAAATAACCCCTCTACAAATATATATAAAAAAAATCCTTTAATAATCTAAAAGATACAAATGTTTTTTTTTTTTTTTTATATTTTCTAAATTGCGTGTTTTGGACTTAATTATCTCTTATGGCGAATGAAATAATCCTATCATTTGAAATTCTTACTTAGATAATGATATTTTATTTTATATATAAGTAAAAGTTTAATCAAAACTAAATATAATTATAAACTCCAAGAGAATGATATGATAATTAATAAGGTTTGTTTCATTTATGGACTTTGTAGGTTTCAATTTCGAGACTATTTATCATATTTATATTTATGATTAACTTTAAAACATTGAGATTAAAACATTAAATATCATATAGTTATAAATAATTAAAATTAAGATATTGATGTTCTTATTTCAATGTAAATAAAATAAGAGGTATAGACTATAGAGTAGGAGGATATAATAGAGGACACGTATATGGATGAGATTACTTCCATAGAAATAAGGACATCAATAATAAGCCAAGAATGTTAGGTAAAACATCACAAAAACAAAAACAAAACAAAAAAATAGGGTTTAGTCTCGTAGGTATATCAGAGTCGGAGAGCCCAACACAGCAATAATAATAGGGGTTGTGTAGGTAGTGGACCATCCTAATCCTAATCTTAGATCAGAATAGGTCAAGTCTAGGGCCTACCCTGGCCTGACTTAGATTAGCCTACCCCTGCAGCCTTGCTATATCTGTTTTTGTGGGTCTGCAGGCTAGCTACTGCCTACTGGGCTAGTTAAAGCTAGGATGGGATAGGAATAGAACGAGGATAGGATAGGGAAAGTGTTATTCTCACCTTGGGCCATGGATTTGACGTGGCATTAATCGAGAGATGATGGTGACTGTTTTCAATTTTATTATTAGAGTTAAAAACACTTTTGTTTTTCACGTGTTGCTTTTTCAAAGTAAAGTTGTTTTCTTTTCATTTTTGGAAACGAAAAACAATGGGATTATGTCAATATGTTTGGACTCTTATTTGAAAGG